ACTTGGAAATACAAATGTACGGTATATATTACAACACAAACTCTGTGTGTGTATATTTGCTAAGACGCGGCTGTTCGTAAGCTATCTTCCTCGAGATCGTGTACAATATCTGTTTAAACCCTGCGTGTTCCTTACTTAACAAATAACATCAGATTCACCCAGAGGGACCGGAGCTACCGCATGATTAGTAACTTTAATCCAAACATAAGGAAGATTATCACTTGACCTAGCATTGGAAGACATGGCTGTCTACATTCTTGCACAACCTGTAACATTACAGCCATCCTGTTGTGGGCAGAACAGGTGCTATCTCCAGATAATAGCAAAGGAATAATGACAACTTGAATGAAATCAACTTAGCCACACTTTTAACCATCTGTTACGTGAAAATTACACATACATAGAATAACTGATACACAGCATTGTATTAAAATAAAGCATAGTAAGTTAATATATCACACTAGAACAAGGTGTACAGTACACTAGCAAGCATTTTTTTCAGGTGCTGCACAAAGTTTTCAGTAATCACTCGAAATGCCAAAGTAACTTTTTGTAGACTATTAAAATGGAAGGATGAAAAATTATACCTGCATGTTTGAACACCCAGTTTTTAAAATCTAGTGTCAAAAATACTTCAATATATATTTTAGAGGATGTATAGCCTAAAAAGGACGCCACATCTTGAGGAATGAGATGTCAGTTTCACTTCTGGGGTGATATTTTAGTAGCTTCTGTTACTAACACTTGCCACTATCTGTTCATAGACATCGTTTGAAATGGACCATCAATTCACTATTATAACGCCTCAACGTGCAGAACACGATTTATTATAATTTTTAGTGGTAAGGGGTCGCAAACCACGGAACCTCTGATCCATAGTTTGACATGTTAACTATTGATCTGCACCTTGTCCATAGGACTCTGGGCTGATTACAAGCAAGTCTGGACGTTTCAAACCATAGCTGTGCACAGCATAGTCTGGCGTGGATCATTACTATGTTAAAAGAGGTGTGGTTCTTCCACATAAAATGACTATATATCAAGCTGTCCATGGTTATATTATTTATTATTTGAATAACAAGTCAAAACCAGGTAACACAGTAGGCTCAGGACGTAATAATAGCTCATTCTTTAAAGTTGGGATAACACAGTCATATCCAGAGTTTTCTCCAGTTTGGTGTTATATCCACATTCATTTATCCAATTCAAACAACAGTAGAGGGATTCGCCTCAATTTCGACGTTGAGACGCCACGAGGACCAACGCATTGCGTTCGCGGTTGTGATGAGCGGCTTATGGACTGTCGCATGATTGTAATACTTATTAGCATGAAGCTCTGTGTGCATAGTACTAGTAGATGTACTGACCGATTTTCAGTCATAATGTATATGGTACCAATAGATTACTATTATTAAAAGGAATTAAGCAAGACATAATGTGACTTCTTGCGGTTACTTTGTTAAGATAAATAAAATTGAAGGGTAGAAGGTACTGGTGAATTGTCAAATAAGTATAATAAAATACAAATTATCATAATTTAGTGGTCGAAGTGGGTTTTCATAATTTAATATTATTATAAAAAAATAATTGCCATAATATAAAATAACCACGTATTAAACGCCTCTCGTGTTGTATTGAAAGGACAATTTATCAATGATTATGTATAGTCAGGAGTTAATGCAAATAATTAAGTTTGGCGACGATAATCGAGCGCGAACGGAGCACATTTCACGGGAAACCAGAGCCTACCAAATTTGAATCCTCCAGTATGCAACTGCAACTCTGCCGCCCGCAAACAGACATAAGAAAAATAAAGAACCCTCTAGCTTCGGAAAACCTAAGCCTATCATGAGCAATATCTACTTTACCTAACTAGTATCTCTTCCCAGCATCGATCCTTGCCCCAGCATTCAGTGATCAGTTATTTTCTTATCACATCAATTGTGTTGTTGCAATAGTTATCTTAAAACCACATTTCTTGTAAATACTCGATCATCGTTCAAAAACTTCTCGTCATAACAAACGGCAAATTCATTTCATTCAGTGCTAAATAAGTCCTTGGTATAAATACACCCTCTTCGACAGGCTTTTATATAGCAGAAATTTAGGAGCTAGATACGCCTACGTTAGTGATTGAATTCAACTGAAATGAGAACGGGCAATGAAAAGAGGAAGTATTACAGGAGAAAAAGTGGAATTGGACTCGTGCAATTCACGAAATTCGGAGGAATTGAGCATGACCAACTGATTGACCGACCGACACTTGGCTGTTACGATTATGATTTTTCGAAAGGATTGCGCCCAAAGCGTAACTGTTCCTAAATTTAGCCTGTATTACCCCTCCTCCCGAATAGTACAAAAGTTTTAATATCGTGTGGACGTTCAACTTGTTGTAAGGCATATTTATTTACAAATTATGGTTCACAAAAAAGTAATTTCTGGTGTTTACCTAACATCAGTTGTGCTAATTCTTTCTGGCCTTTTAAGAAAATGAGACAGAGCGTGACCTAGTGATTATCATGCAGGACTGGTGCAACTGAGGGTCCATGATTCTCGTTCCATAGCCGCAAACTGTGGGTGCGTTATGAGTGTGATGGGCAGATCCCACTATTCGATTGGAGTAACCCAAGAGTTGGCAATGGGTGCTGTTGACAAACTGCCTTCCCTCCGTGGGCGCATAATTTTGTTGAAAAGCGTGTTTGTGTGTGTTGGAGAGGGGACAAGGGGAAGGAAGCACTAGCGAGGCACGTTGAAGCACTTACTCCTTCTGCTCCCCTGGTTTGGTGTTTATGCTTCCACATAGTCTATCAGCTCAAAATTATCATAAGCTAATATTCAGTAAATAACAATTCAGTTTGTATATTAGACATTTTGTTAACGACTATCAATCAGGTAGAATAACGAAGCTACTGTGTTATGTATGGATTTAGCCAAAGCTTTTCAAATGTAGCCTATCCAGTTTAACTTCCGCGATTTTAGGCTTTTAAGTTAATGTTTTATGTTTTATTTTCACCACATTAAATAGTAAGATGAATGCTCATTTTCATGCGTATTTCAACTTACCTTCACAGTGAGTTGTATTAGAAAATGTGTTTAAATTTTATAATTAATTTGTTAAAAACCATAAGGAATCTGTTGTCATCTTTTTAAGCTTTCGGTGAACTGTGTAAAGAAAATGTTTTATGATACTGCTTTCGTTAGAATTGTTTGATAAATGCGTGTATAAATGGTTGTTGAAAGCCATGGAATCAATACATAACCTTTGTGTGTTTGTCTCTGTGTGTGCGTGTGTAGTATTTATTATATACAGTTCACTGAATGTAAACAACTAACTGAAAATAGAACGATTGTAACTATCCCTACCGCCAGGACACATAAATCAGACAAAAGAGGGGGAGACGTTCTTTACTATTTTTACCACCAGGACATATAACCTATCACAGACAAAAGAAGGGGGGACGTTCTTTACTATTTTCACCACCATTCTATTGATCATCCATAGCAAAACAAGCTGGGGTCGTTTGTGAAAGTTTGTTTTTTCTTTCTCAGTAAAGCAAGATGTATACAACCTTTAAATATTGATTTCGTGTGATGTCACAAATGTGAAATGATAATAATTCCGCGATTTTAGGCTTTTAAATTAATGTTTTATGTTTTATTTTCACCACATTAGATAGTAAGATGAATGCTCATTTTCATGCGTATTTCAACTTACATTCACAGTGAGTTGTATTAGAAAATGTGTTTACATTTTATAATTAATTTATTAAAAACCATAAGGAATCTGTTGTCATCTTTTTAAGCTTTCGGTGAACTGTATAAAGAAAATGTTTTATGATACTGATTTTGTTAGAATTGTTTGATAAATGCGTGTATAAATGGTTGTTGAAAGCCATGAAATCAATGCATAACACTACCTAAATATAACCTGTATAACAATAATATGAATGATCTTTGTGTAGATAAAATCATTGCTGGGATATAAACAATGCGACATTTAATCCAGTAAAGATGGAGCACTTCAAGAAATGATTTTAGGCTATTTTAAAATAAGTTGTTTTTTGTTTTTCTTTTTAGTTAAGCACAAAGCTACTCCACGGTATCGAAACCCGATTTCTAGCAGTATAAGTCCGCAGACATGCCGCTGTGCTATTGTTGGGGGGGCTTTAAAATGAGGGAATAAAACCAAAATCGTAGCTTTATACGTGTTAAGTTACAAGTTAAACACTTCCTTACGGACTTGTTATAATAACATTGAAATGTATATTTAAATACTTATGGATACCACAGATAAACATGGCATGGATAAGATCGAATGTGTAAATTATTGGTATGTTTAACTTAAGCTGGAATTGTTTAGTTCAGTTTGGCGGTCACCTCTTGTAAACTGAAAAATGTAGATTGATTAAAAGGGTTTAACTTCCAAGGAAATAATTCAGTATTTGTTCGTCCATACTATATGAATAGACTGGCGAACCCGTGGGCCTTTGGCCCACATTTAAAGGGCCGCTAATAATTTAATATTTGAACTAGTATTTTTACACTTTTTCAGCTTAATTACCTCTATAATGTAAATTTAATTTATCTAACCAAATTACGAACGGTAATTAGCAAGTCCGCTTATTTACGTGCTATAATGCAAATCAATGCCAAATTTGGGGTCTGCTTTTAGGGAATCCCCGTAAAAGTGTTTTCGCGAAATACCCGGGTTCTCTAAGGGGTTGTGTGAAAAGTTTTACCTTTGTGCAAACTTCGGGTCTGATACGATTCGTTTGGCACCATTTCGAAGTTCATGAGTCCAGCATTTTAAGAGAAGGGTTTCCCCAACAGGTAGGGTGAAAAATTTTTACCTTTGAACAAACCTCAGGACCGAGACGATTCTTTTGATATCACTTAGAAGTCTGTGCGACCAGCGGTTTAGGAGGAGTTATATGACACACAAACACTGAATCTAATTATACATATAAATATCTTGTGAGAAATGTCTTTGCTTTTTGTAGGTTTGTTGCTGTTCGTGAACTGCTACAACGTGAAGTTGGCGGCAAGAGTTCAAGACGTCTTCACCTTCGCCAAAATTATTGCGCTAATTATAATAATAGTAGCAGGTTTAATCCATATAGGCGTGGGTAAGTGAAGTGTCAAAATTCGTCTCAATATTTTATCTTTTTCACTGCCGCCATTTTCTGTAACATCATTGGAAGAGATTTAAGATGTACTAGAAAAAAAGAGGCTTTTCAGTTTATAAACGTTTTCTACATAATAAATATATTTAAATAGATGTGTGTTTTACGCATGAAACAGGCACTGGTGCCATCTATTAGACAATTATGGAGTCAGATTTATACGCAACTGATCACATTATGACCGTTTTGCCAATTTCAGTTGTGGTCATCATTAACAACAACATAAAAAAAGTAAAATCTGAATAAAATGATAACACTAATGATAAAACAGAATGACTTGTTTTGTGAGAATCACTATCTATGTGTGTGTGTGTAATGAAATAAGTAGCTTCAACACTATTAATTACATTAACTGTTAATAGGCGATTAGAATCAGCACTATAAAACAATAATGAACTTAATATAAAAAAAAACATAAAGAAGATTTCATTAAAGAATCCATTGTCAATCCTAGTTGTCACCTTAAAGTTATAACAGTTATATATATATATATATGGAATGTTAATATGTATATTCTTTCAGGTAATACCCATAATTTCCAAAATGCTTTTGAGGGGACCACCACTGAACCGGGATATATTGCCTTAGCATTTTACTCAGGAATATTTTCCTATTCTGGCTGGTATGTACAACTAGTTTTGTAACTGTTACAGTGTAATTCATGAAATCTGAATATTCTTATGTAATTTAGTAAATGCACTCTATGCACACGTTTGTACCATCTTTTATTTTACACAGTTTATATTTCAAAGTTAGTTCCTTTGTGTTGTTATTGGATATGTTAAAGTAGATGATCTGTTGTTCATTGTATAGGACAGAACACATTTGGTGGTGTGTGATTAATTAAAAATTTATTACAAGTCCAATGATTTAAAGTTTTGGGGGAGTGCACTCTGAACAAAGGTGGTTTAAGTGTTTGAAGAACCTAAGTGAACAATTAATTATTTGGTCTTTATTCCAGATTTTGTTACAAATTTAAAAACTGATACAAGGTTTGAAGAAAAACGTTTCTTTTAATGATTTATATATTAGGATTTGTTGCAAAGTCAAGTCTTCTGTATCAATAACTCAAACTGAATTCCAATGATTACAAAACTGTTGATTGTTACTTTGTCAAAGAGAAAATTATTTAGTAAAACAAAGTACATTTTAATGGGTTTTATAGAACTTAAATAATTCAGTATGAGATGAATCTAAACCTAACATGACTTCATTCTTCTGATGACAGCTACAGTTTAACACCAATTCTTGACCAGATAGAACTTGCAAATCTCTTTCAAATTAAGTCTTCTAAGATACCAGTCCTAAAATTATGCCACATAATTCTGAGTGGATTTGGGTAAAAGAATATGAAATTTGCATGATAAATAATTGTTCTCTCAGCATATTGTCTTCATGTGTAATATTTATGTTTCTTTAACTAGTGGATGTCACATTTTACTTTTTGTAAATTGAGTCAAATGAGTGTATTGTTAAGGGTTTGCAAGGGTAATATGGGTAGCGTAAAGATATGTCTGTAATATTTTAGGGAAAGTTTTGATACACAGTAACTCATGTGGTGACTTTTTACTGTTTATTTATAAATCTCAAATCCTCACTTAAGTTTGATATTACGGTATTTCTAATAATGTTAAATACAAGTATTTTTATGCAAACAAAACAACTTACTAAACAAAATAAACAATTTAAAAATACAGAGAATTGGTTAATATTATCAATCATAAACGTTTTCTTACATTTATTGCAACCATTTGTTTTGTGTTCACAAACATAACAAATTTGTCATAATTCCCCCTATTTTATTTAATGTTTATGACAATCATTAGTGGCAAAAAGATTTGCCATTGTTATTTAATACTTTTTAAACTTTGTTTCATTTTAGCTCTTGTTTTTTTCAGGAATTACTTGAACTTTGTTACAGAAGAATTACAAGATCCTTATAAGTGAGTTTAATTTTAGATCTTTTTGGTTCATTAGGGATTGTTGTAACGTGTTCTATCATTTGGTAGGTCTTTTTCAGTTATTCAATAAAAATGATGCAAAGCCCAGTCTACTTAATGATAAGTTATTTATTTCTTCACTGACTTTCTACAAAGGCTATGTCACTGATAGGCCAGATCTAATTTCACAAAGTTTCAACAGAAAATTTTAAAAATGAATTATGTGCCTACCTCACAAATAAAACTCACTTGTTAAATTTCCTCTCTTTTAATGACACAACCTAAAATAGGCTAACTACTACACTTACTAGTCAGTCGATAATAAGATTGCCAACTGACAAACTTCTAATCTCTGAATAATGAACTAGCCCAATGACAAACTGCTTGAATGACTAACTAAATTCATCACTCTAGTATTTAAGTATTGTTCCACTATTTTTAACCAAGTATTTATAGAATTCCAGGATATTATATGTTTATCACTTCAGATTAAATCTCGAACTTGGAAAACTTCCAGATGTCACACAATCATTAAATCATGTCAGAACTCCTTTTAGTAAACAGCTTACAACCAGCGGCGTAGCAAGGGTTCTCAGCACCCGGGGGCAAAGACATTTTTTGCGCCCCCACCTCTGAAGTGTTTTGAGTATTTGTTTTGTGACTCATTACCCACTTAATGACAATAACATAAAGAATTAATTACTGCCTTACACAGGCCTAAAGTCACAACATAACATCTCACAATATCACAACTGTAAATCTGGAACTAATGAAGTATAGCCTTCTAGGTGTACTTACATAATTTGTAAACCATTTTTATGTTTATGTTATCCAGTATTGTTCAAAGTCACATAGCTAACGTAATCTTTCAAACATGCAGAATAAATTTCTGTTATATCCCTAGTTTTGAAACTTATGTTTTATATGAGAAGCCAGTCACTTATGGTGTATGTGGATTATAAAACAGATTGATAAAATACTACTTAAGTTTACAAATAAAACATTTTATTAGTTTACAAAACTGTACATATACTTAACTAGATCTTGTACAGGTAGCATTATGGTATTCATGATTACATTATATGAACCTTTCCTGCTTTTGCTGCTGCAAATGCATCAATTAAACTATCAAAAGTTAAGGTATTAAGTACGTCTTTTTCAATACTTAATATTGCCAAGTTACTAAGTCATTTTTGAGTCATTGAGGTTCTCAAGTATGTAAGAATTAATTCCAGCTTGCTGAAGGACCTTTCACAACTAGCAATAGAATCCCCAATTGCTAACAAAATTTGCAATGCAATTCTTAAATTTGGGAAAACATCTACACCATATGTCAGCAAATCAGTTGCAACCATTGGTTCAGGAAAATCAGTCTGTGTTCTTTTACTTATCAACATTCTACAGTCTTTAATTTCTCTGTACAATTCTAGTCCATCAATAGCACCTGGATAGCTCTTTGCTAAGTCAGAACATTTTTCCATCTTCGAAATCTCCAGAAACAATATTTTGCACATCTAATAGAAATCCAAACTGTGAATTGATTGATAGATGATAAAAATTTCTCCAAAAATGCAAAAGTACAAGAAAATTAAATGTAAGCACGTATTGCAGAATATTATGAGCACCACATTTTGTTTCAGCCATGTTGCCATTCTCACTTAATTGCTCTAACAGTCCTAGCAATTCATCCAGTTTTTCATGTACAACTTTTACTGCCTTTTCTCTTGCACTCCACTGTGTTTCTGATTCACGCTTGACAGAGATCTTAAGCTCCTCCTGCAGTTCATCCCATCGAGTTGTTGAATGAGCAAAGAAATTATAAATGGCTTCAATTATATCAATAAAGATAATAACTTTTGTTTCCTGACTTGCAGCATGAAGACATGCTAAGTTCAAACTATAGTTATCACAGTTTATAAACATTGCTTTTGGATTTTTGTTCAGAATTCTTTGTTGAATGCCTGACAGATGACCTGACATGACAGCAGCATTATCATAACAATGTGAACAACAATCACTCAATAAAATTCCATTTGCTTCTAATTTTGTGCTCATTGTTTTCTCAATATTGGCAGCATCTTTTTCCTTTATCTGTATAAAGTCAATAAATGACTCTTTGACTTCTACTTTTCTTGTCTTAAAGTCAATGTCAACAAACCAAATCACTTGGGCCAATTGCTCACGATGGGCTAAATCAGGTGTGGAATCAAACAGAATACCATAGTATTTGTTTCTACGAATTGCTGACAAACAATAATTTGACACATGTGAAGCCATGAGATTTATAAACTCATTTTGGAGTTCAGGAGAAAGATAAGATGTTGACGTTTGCTTGTTTTTAACATGCTCTAAATGCTATCTCATTACTGGATCATATTTTGCTAATAACTGCAAAAGTGACAGGAAATTTGCAGGGTTTTGTTTGAGGTTATGTCCTCAGTATGACCACGAAATGCAATATTCTGAGAAGCTAAATATTGTGTACAGTCCAGCAACCATCACAATACATCTCTCCATTTATTTTTTTCTTGATGAATTTGCATTTGCAGCTCTTTATCAATGCCACTTTGAAGACGAATTCGGTGCTCAGTTTCTTTCCAAGCAGCAAATGACTCACAATGACTGTCACTATTTTCATGGGCATTTAACTTTTCCATTTTTTTCCACTTAGAGAATCCACCCTGTGTTTTAAAAGTAGACCGACTGTCAGATGCCATACATGTAGATGAAAAAAGAAGACAACAAAAGCAGTATGCTGTTTTATGTGGAGGTGAATACACCAACCAGGAATGATTGACCTCTTGTCCATTCAGAAGGCGTCGTTTGAACCAAAATGCAGTCATAGAACGCTCATCTTTGACATCAAATGGGCCTTCTTTATGTTGAAATTCATGTGCTTCAACTTTAACAATCTCTGTGCAATGTGCATGTGTTACAACTGCTGAGCCTGTTGTATCAAACTTCATAGATACAACATCCCTGTGTGTTAAAATATTTATTAGGGCATCCTCTTTTAGCTTAGCAACACTATTCTGTGGATATGTTTCTGACAAAGTGGAATCCTCTTGTTTAATATTATTGTAGCTTTCAACAGGACAGAGAACAGTTTCTTCATTGTTTTCTTTTTCAAATGAAATAGCA